GGTCCAATGGCCTCATCGTCCGTGGGGATCTCATTGAGCGACATGCGGGAGCCGGAGAACTCCACCTGGTGTGGCATGGGGATGAAGGGCAGCTCGTCCAGGTCGTCCGAGTCCGAAGAGGATGACAGTGCCGGCGACTCCTTGAGGTGCCGGGGCACGGCGATGGAGAGGTGGTTGGACGTGTCCTCCAGCAGCTCTGGGATCGGCCGCAGCACCATGTTGCACTTGTAGCTGATCTGTGAGCGCTGCAGCCGGTGGAGAGGGCTGGATGAGGCCCAGGTGGGTGGCATGGCATCATCCCGCCCAGCACACGTCACCCCATCCTGCCCAGCACGCAGCCCTGCCTGCCCCTTCTCCCTCCCCAGCTCCCGCCTTCACCTGCCATTTCCGACGGGAGAGGAAGAGCTTTAGGTGGTCTGTGCTGATGACCTTCCCCTTGGCCAGCGTCTGTGGGGCAAGGGGACAGCGGTGTCCCATGGAGCCTGCAGCAGGCTCAAGGGAACCCCGCTGCCGCCAAGCGCTGGGTCCCTGCCCAGGCTCACCTTGAACCAGGGATGCTCCAGGGTCTGCTCCGCATTGGGTCTCCTGTGAACCAACACCGCCGGGTGAGAACTGCCCGGGCTGGGGGGGGTTTTGGCCAGCCCGGGGAAGGGCAGGAGGGTCTGGCTGCCCGTGCCACACCCCAGCAGGGCTGTGCACCCATCTTGCCCTCAGGCACCCCAATGCACAAGGCTCACGCCAGAGGGGTGGGAGCCAGGGACCCCACAGCACTCACAGCCTGTCGTTGACCAGCACTTTGATGACAAAGCCCTTCGCTTCCCGGGTAAGCCCCTGGAACATCCTCTCCTCGAAGGCCACGTTGTAGTTGCGGATGTTCATCAGCGTCGTCTTGTCATTTTCCCCCACAAAGGGAGAGATCCCCGTCAGGCTGCCGAGGAGGGGACACTGTCATCAGGCCAGGGGGACATGGGGAACAGCATGGCAAGTACGGAGGACCGAGGACGGGACCCCGGACCCCAGCCCTGGTGCCATGGGGAGGGTAGAGGCAGGAGCAGCCAGGGAGGAGGATGAGTCTGCAAGGAGCGACATGCATGGGCACAGCCCCAGCACTGCAACTGGCAAGGGGACGGGAAGGGTGTCCCTCCCGTGGGAGCCCACCGGGGCACTTACCAGAGGTAGGTGATGACCCCCACGGGCCTGCAGAGAGGAGAGCGCGGTTACTGCACAGCACAAGCCCTCCAGGGCACCCAGTCCCTCCCAGGATAGCGAGGAGCCCACTGTCCACCCTGGAGCAGCCCTCACCAGATGTCGGTGACGCTGGAGACGGGGCTCTGGTTGACGATCTCGGGGCCCACAAACTCAGGGGTGCCATACTTGCAGTACTGGGGCTCCTCGGGCGTCAGCTCCTGCGCGTTGCCGAAGTCACAGATCCGGACCTGCTCACTGCTCGAATCCGCCATCAGGAGGTTTTCTGGCTACAGGACAGTGTGGGGCGGAGGGGAGCTTGACAGGAGGCAGGGGCTGCCCCCAGGGAAGGGATGTCCCCCATCAGCAGGACCGAGCCCCCTGCAGCTCGGCAGGAGCCCATCCCTGCGGGTGCAGGGAGAGAAGGGGCCGGAGAGCCCCTCACTCACTTTGATGTCTAGGTGCAGAACCCTGTGCTGGTGCAGGTAGCAGATCCCCTCCAGAACCTGCCGCATGTAGGACCGGACCTGCAAGAGATAGAGTGGGGAGCGTGGGTCAGCCCCACGCTGGCCCTGTGCAGAGGAGGGGGCAGGCTGTAGCCCCCTTTGTAGCCTGATACGATGAGTGTTGTGCATCCCTGGGCTGGGACAAACCCCACTGTCCCCAGGCTCCCTCCTTCTCCCATCACTTTGCCCCCCAAGGGTTCACCCACCTCAGACTCACACACCGAGGGCTTCCTTGCCATCCTGTCCAGCAGCTCTTCCTCGGCACAACTGGGCCCCAGTCAAGGAGCACAGAAACTCCATGCCCCGCTGTGCCCTGCACCCTCCTGGGTACCCAGCTCCTCCACACCTGCTCTGCCCACCCGTTCCCCCCAAAAGCCTCCCCTCATTCCCCGCATCACGCGCTTCGGAGCAGCGCCTGGGGGATACAGCTCCATGACCATGATGACGGCGGTCTTCTTCTCGAAGGCATCATGGAAGAAGACGATGCGCTCGTGGTCCAGCTGTGAGAGGATGTGCAGATCCCGCCGCGCCGACTGCTTGGCCTTGGTCCTCCCGGGAACAAACTTAGCGGCAAAGTCCAGCTGGCTGCTCTTCTCCGTCACCCTCCGCAGGTAGGAGAAAGCCCCCCTGCGATGCAGTGATGGGGGCAATGGGGGGGATAAGGAGGTGGGCGAGCAGGAGACCTCCCCTTCCCCAAACAGCTGGGGCAGGCATCTGCTCTGCAGGGAGCTGCCGACAGCACCAACAGCTCCCCAGGACCACAGTCAGAGAGACCCCAGGTCTAGCTTTGCTCTGGCCACCCCAGTTCCCTACCCTGAGCCAGCACCAGGGCATCCAATGATGGCTGAGAGCAGCCCCAGGGTCTGGCATACCATGGAGTTCAGTCCTGAGGGACAAAGCCTCAGGGTGCAGCTTGGCTCCAGCACCCCCATCCCTGCGGTGCCCGGGGTGCCCCGCTGCCCACCGTGCCAGCAGCCCCATACCTCCCGATCTCCTCGTGCACATCGTAGTAGTCGGTCAGGCGTCGCGCCTTGTGCAGTGCCTCCTCCTCCATGGCGGCATCGGCAGCGGGCTGGGCTGGGGGAAGGAAAGGCGCTGGTGGGAGGCAAGCCGGGCACCTGGGCTCTGTCCCTTGGGGCCAGGGGATCAGCCAGCCGTACCTGCCCGCACCATCAGCTCCGCCTTGCAGGAGACCTCCCCGGCCAGATTCTTGGCTGTGCAGGTATAAACACCGCTGTCAGGCTCAGCGGCGCCCAGCACCACCAGTGAGCACTCGTTGTCCTCGTACACGAAGCTCAGGTGGCTGCTCTCCTCCAGCAGCTCTCCATCCTGGGGGTGGCAAAGGTGTCAGTGAGGTCTTGTCTTGTCCCTGACCAGTTCCCACCACCCCTTCCCCATGGATGGGGCATGGGGTGCATCCTGCATCACTGGGAGTGAACACAACCCGAAAGCCCCAACGCAGCAACCCAGGTGAGGCAGTGGAGGGTGTGGATCTGGGGGGGGAGTGGGTCAGGAACGGGGGGGGTAGTGGGTCAGGAAGGGGATGGGGGGGTCCCAGCCCACCTTGTACCACATGATGTCTGGCAGCGGTTTCCCCTCCACCACCACGGCAAAGCGCGGCGTCTCCCCTTCCTGGACATCAATGTCCTCCATGATGGATTCAAAGCGCGGTGCCTCTGCCGAGAGATGGGGCGTGGGGCACCGTGGGGCAGTGCCACCCCCCTGCCACTGGCACAAGGTGTACAGCTGTGGGGCACTGCGAGGAAGTGCCAGCCCACAGTATCGGGGCATGGAATGCCATGGGGCAGTGCCACCCCAATGCACACGGGAGTGGGACACCATGGGGCAGGCCACCGATGGCATGTACCTGCAGCACCATGGGGCAGTCACCCATTGGTGTGGGGCACCATGGGGCAGTGCCACTCATGGTACATGTGGATGGGGCACTGTGGGGTTGCATCTCCCCTTTACCTATGGATGTGGGGTACACATTGGTGTAGGGCACCACAGGGCAGTGCCACCCATGACACCTCTGTGGGGCATTGTGGAGGTGTCCCCCACACATCTTGGCCATAGGGCACTGTGGGGCAGTGCCACCCCATTATACACAAGTATGGGACACCCTGCAGCAGTGCCACCCACGGCACATGGCTGAGGCACACGACGGGGCAGTGCCACCCCATGCACATGGTCATGGGGCACATGGGACACTTCTACCCAAGTCAGAGATGGGTAGAGAACACTAGGCAGCAGTATCAACACATGGTTCATGGGCTTTCAGCCCCATGGGCCATTGCCACCCTATAGAGCAGCATCCCCACGGCATACAAGTATGGAGCACTGAGGAGCAGTGCCATGCTGTGGGGCAGTGTCCCCATGGCACATGGTCATGGGGGACCATGGACCAGTGCCACCGTGCGGGGCAATGTCCCAACCTGATGGCACACGGGCTTGGAGCACCGCAGGGCGATGCCACCCCCCGGCAGAGCTGCACGGCCCCCCGGCATGGGGGCACCTACCTGCGAGGTGGAGGTGGAGGGTGCAGTGGGCAGTGCCGTGGCGGTTGCTCACCTCGCAGGCCAGCGGCCCTGCGGCCCCCCGGCCCACGTGCAGCAGCTGCAGGCAGTGCTGGTCATCATCCGGCATCATCACCTC